AACAAGTTCTCAGTGTTACAGTTGAACTTTGAACTTAGCTTACTCGGCAAATTTCTAGTGGCATATTGCTCTGTGGATTGCAACTGCCATAAACCACAAGAGCTCTTAGAAGTACCTAACCGCGCCCGAACTTAGGAGATACTATACGTTAGTCCATGATGACGAAAAGGAAAATTTTTTTGAAGACCAACCAAACTAGAGTTATCTAAGATACCTTACTACAGCGATCTAAGCAACGCTTCCCTTCCACTTTGCTGCCGTGTTATATTTGCTGCACAGCACTTGTTGTAAATAACCAGGCGTAAGCAGAAACCACCATTCAGTCAACAAAACTATTAGATGTTTGTAAAAACAGCTTACTACCGAGTTACCAAATTACTACCTAGTCTGGTCATACGGTCAAATATTAACTGTATATCCAGAATTGTTACACTTTGCTGACGGTAGGAAAACACCAAGACCCTAAGCAAAAAATTGACAGTCCTTGAGGGCCAACTTTTAGGTCTTAATGAGTCCTCCCCAGCAACAGCAGTCCCACTCCCACGAACGGTCATCTCTTACCCTTTCATCAAAGCCTACTGACATTCACTAACAATAAACTTATCCATCAGTTCAAGAAAGGAATTACAGAAGTACAAATATTCAAGAGGACCTGATACCCAACCATATATATTCAAAAAGCCAAACTTTATCAGCTACACCATATCTTATGACACAAAAGCCTGAACCTGCAAAACCCTTCAAACGCGTTACCTGTCACGAAACAAGTCTAACCGTACCCGTTGTGAGCCTTGACAGAGACTAATGAAGCCCACAGCTTTGAAATTCTAGGGGTTTACAGTTAGCTTATGAAACCGTTGAAAAAGAGAATTGTACGACTTCTGATTCTAAAAATTTTCCTTCTTCTGACAACCACTGTTCCGGTTATTAGATGCTCTGTTTAAAACCACACCTCAAATTTAGCACTTCACTTAGTAAGGATATTTGACTGGCTTCATTTTAGTACTTCCAGCTTTCATTTTCAAGGGACTTGGCTGCTCACTTCTTTCAGTGTGACGTGTGAGGTTTTTTATTACTGTGACTCCCGACCTTTAGAGTAGTGTGATTTAGAACAGAAAAAGTGCCAAACCGGTCCTACCGCTGAAGAACGACCTCCGTCAAGAACAACCGGGAAATCAGAAAACTCAGAATGACTATTAATAATTATTCTCAAAAAAGAAAAAGTATTGGAAGATTAGCTGTATAAACTAAACTAAAAAAGAAACAGGCACTAACATTAAACAGACATCATATCCAAACAGTTAATTTAACGAGTCACTACAAAAGACAAGATTGAGATAATGCAAATTTCTGCTAAAAACTACCGCTGATATACATAAAGCATTAAACACCAAGCAAACAAAAAATTGAAAGACACTTGTTTCAGAGCCTTGAAAACACAATCCAGAGAGAAACAGCGGAGGTGCAGCCTCGCCAGATCAAAAACTAGTAGACTTCACTGGCTGTTGAAGGAGACATCGAGGACCGCGTGTGACCATTCTCTTCCTGAAATAAGTAGTTGGTTCAAAGACAAGGTCAGTTTCAAAAGTTGCAATTTTCACAGGTTTCAAACGAAGACTATTTCATGTGCCTTTTTTTAAAAAAATTCCAAAAAAAAAAAAAAAAAAAAATAAAAAAAAAAACCCCAAAAAAAAAAAAAAAAAAAAAAAAACTAAAAAAAAAAAAAAAAAAAAAAAAAAAAAAAAAAAAAGGGAAAAAAAAAAAAAAAAAAAAAAAAAAAAAAAAAAAAAGCATTTTCTGAGCACTTAACATCACAATACTCACATCTTCATTTTCTTGATCTTCATTCGATGCTTCATCAGCTGCCTCAGCAGCAACTGCTTCTGTGCTTTCTTCTTCATCGGTACTTTCATCAGGACACGTGACCTCTTCTCCCTTGAATAACAAACCAAATGCCAACAAAATGCCAACAAAAATAACTCGCTGACACAAGAGCTAATGCAATGAAAGAAGAAACTGATGAAATAAAATTACATCAAGGTTTCGACTCTTGAGTAAGCCAATTTGAAAGGCTTCATCACACTGAACACCAACCATTATTGAATGCACAGTCCGGATGAAAAGCTCAGATACAGCACGCAGTTCTGGCAACATTTTCAGTAAAGCGGCACATTTATTAGTCTAAATTGCAGAACTAAACGATATTGTAATAAGAGAAAGAAATTTACATCTTCAGTACCCCATCACTGGTTAATACCCTTTACCTTCGCATATACACTCATGTTTTGAAGAGAACGGTTCCCTATTTGAACTGTTTTGAAGACGACATTTGCACTCCCAGCATATCTCGCGAATCTTCAAGATTGTGTCAATTTTATTTTTGCAATTAATTTGCATATGTTGAGGAAAATGACCAGTTACATTAAAACAAGTGCCAATATCAATTAAGAGCTTGAAAGAAATGAATTATGATCTAAAATTGTAGATGGAGAAGCTTGGTTGAGCATGGTCAAAGCTAATGTTAATGGAAGATTACAAATATAAGGCTATTTTACCTTTTTTCTTCTTTAAGAAGGTACATAAATGAGCTTTTCGTCACGAAATTGTACAGAAACAAGCGGCCCTCTCGTGCAGCTGATATTAACACAGCGTTGTTTCTCAAATTCTACAATGTAATTGAAGAATAGTTAATGTCAGACAATGTTACTACAAAAAACGGTTCTTGCCATTTGAACTAAATAGAAATCGACGAAGGAACAAAGTGGGAAAAGTAGCAGTAGTTGCCACAAACTCTTAAAAAATAACCTTTACTCGAATCATTAGCGCTAAAAGACAAAAACAGCTTGCGGCTCGCTTCCATTGCAGAAAGCACTCATCTAAACTCATTCCACTGCTCAAAACAGTTTGAAGAGTAAGATGCGTTTTAACATTATCATTCAGTGAACGAAATAAAGTCCTGTATACAGTAGGAAAAGTACTTCTGAAAATGAGCAAAAAAAAATTAGTTTTAAAATTAATAAAAAGTTCCTGAAACAAGACTCTACCATAAAACTGTCGGAGACCACAATTTAATGTTACGCTGTGATAATAAAAATGACTTGACGAAGCAACAAAAGTGGCCACGCTTGTCCTCCTCAGTTAACTCTTCGTCTGTGCATTCTTCCATAGAAGATATTTTACTTCTTCTTCTCTCCTCTTCAGGAACTAATAGAGACACTTCAGCTGCGAGCAGCCACTGAATAGCAATAAAACGTTTACTGCTTCGACGTAACCCTATATAGAGTCTAGAAAGCAGCCCACAGTTCAACAGAGCAATCATTATAGAAAGGGGAGAAAGTGAAGAGCGGCTGCAAGAAAGAAGGTTAACTCACTGCAACATTTCTCCAACTGCACGGTTCAAAACGCTCCCTTTAAGAGGACTGCCTTCTTCATCAACCCATTCCTTACGCAAATAAGATAGAGCTATAGATGCTAAAAAGACTTATGTTTCTTCATGCAAAACACTACAGTAACTGCTTAAAATAGCGAGAAAAACTAGTTTATTGTATGGTTGGAAAATGAACCTTATAAAGCCAACTGAAGTCTTTTAAACAATAAAGAAGAAAAGAATTACGCCCCTCATCTTCAAAAGGATTAACGTATGAGAGAGTTCATATAAGCCTCCGAAACATAATCAATAAGTCAGGATTACGTCACAGTCGCAACTTTGATGCAGTGAGTTGATGAAAGTAATAGGGGTTCTCAAAGGTGATGCATACAAAAGAAGAGGATGAGAAAATGGACATAAAAAAGGGAAGAGCGATTGAAGAAGTGGCGTTATTGTTCCCCATAAAAGAATCAAGCGCTGGTTATTTTTTAAAAAATTTGAAAATTTCTATCCCTTTTTAGAATGAGGAAGTCGTCTCGACGCTTGAAAAGCAAGCACGCACATAAGTGGAAAAGGGTTGGCTCCATGAAAGTGACTTTACGCGTTTAAAAATCTTGTGACGGATTTATAAACACGCAGTTCAAGAGTTCAGTGCCAAAAAAAAACAAAGTGAATTATGAGCTTTTTGGATCGAAGGGCTAAAGCTTGTCGCTGAGGAGTAAAGTTAGAAATGGTCGTATGATAGAAGAATGTGCAGGGTAATCTCAAAGAACATGAAATCCAGAAATCGACCGCATTCTACTCCTGTTTACATGATTTCCTTTGACGTTTTTAGAGTAATAAATGTCTAATTTAAATGAAGCAGAGTTTTTAAACTAATTTTACCTACCTGATCACAAGTGTAAAGTAACTGATATAGAAGTGCCAACTTTTAAGTGCCGCTATATTATTTAATTTGTTTGGAATAGTGTTTCCCTTTTAACAGCTTTTCCAAATAAAGCCAAGTTCAAAATACCTGTGAGAGTCGCTTCTCTTTCTGGCAACACTTCAATTGAAGCAAGAACACCTAAAATTTCTACTGCAGAATCCAATGCTGGTGCCGTCTCAGCGATACTAATAAAATAGCGTAAAACAGATACCTGAAAATACCACTAACGTTTGCGCAGCATATACTATATAAAAAGAAAAAAATATACAAAAATCCTCAATCACCCTAGTAACACCGTTCTTAAAAAACAAAATTTTTTTCCGACGCAAAATCATACTTCCGCATCATTTTCGCCACCTGCGTCGTCAATAGCTGCAGCGTTTATCATAGAGTGCTCAAGCTTCTCCATTACGGACTTTCTCTTTTCAAAGCGAGCACGGCGATCCCTTTCACCTTCAGTCGCCTCTTCTCTTGCTGTGTCTGGCTTAGCAAGATCTTTACTATAAAAAAGAAGATTCGTTTTCGCAAGCAACAGAACCTAGGTGAAGGCATTTTTAAATTTAATATTTTCAAGTTTCAAACGAATACTAAAAACTATTGTTGGTACGAAGTAAAAAGCCCTAACTGCATGACGAAAAACGACTAACCACGAAAAAATTTCTTTTAAAACAGAGCAAGATGCAGTCATAACTTGAGCCATATCATTGTAGCAGTCACGTCCTGTTTGAGGCTCGAGAGCAGAAGTATTTTGTAATGATTTAAAGTAATTGACTGCTCCATCAAGAATTGCGAAAATCAATGGAAGCAGCAAGTGAACCATCTTCCAAATGGTTTTTTGGTCACCGTGAACTACAGGTAGTTCTCCAACGGGCACGTCAGACGCTATCTAAATCATTTTTTTTAAAAAAATTTAGCCAAGATAATTTTTGGAACGGAAAACAATAAAAACCACAAAAGAAACTCACTATCCAAGACGCAGGTTTCATCTCCTTTTTTGACAAAACTGTTTTTAAGATTTTTTGCAAAGTTTCCAAAAGAAACTTTGTCTGCTTCCTTTTGTCAGGCAGTAACTAAAAGCATTTAAGCAAACGATAGGTTGTGTAAAAATTATTTTTTTAGCCAGAATAGAGTACAACGCAAAGTAAAAGAAAGAGAGCAATGTCACAAAAAAGATCCAGAAAGTGATAAAAACAGCTAAAGCACTTGCTTCCTTTATCCTGACAGTAATTTTGCAAATAACCTAATTTTTAATGGCAACCAATATTAAATCGTAAGCTTTAGTGAGGGAAATGTGATTGAAACATTATATTTTACAACCTGAACAAGTTTCGTAACTGTTAACAGCTTAAAAGGGGAGAAGTAGGAGACCAGCTGATCTGCATCTATAAATTTCCGAAAATGATTAACATTTCGCTTCCGACTGTAGCTGGCCTTGTCTTCACTATTATCACGACCGGTGTTTGTTTCTTCAATCTCCATCTCAATGTTCTAAAAAAATCACAAAGTAACGGCAAAAACTTCGAAAAGCATGACAAAGAAAAATCCAGATGTCCCTTCAACCAAAGTATGAGTCTTAACTTTAATATTACCTAATACTTGCTTTTTTACTGAATCATGTGGAAAAGTGCATAAAGAATAAAAACATTTGAAAAGTTAGACAACTGAAAGCCTAGTAAGCACCTATTAAATTTTGTAAAAATAAAAACTGATTTCATGCTTACCGCGAACACCTTATGTTTGGTTCCAAAGATTACTGAAGCCGCTGTAAAGCAGTAACTCGCAAAAAAATAAAAATAAAAAATGTATTAATCATTGGAATCACCTGTCATTCCTTAATCCCAGAAAAGTACATTTAATACTCTAGGCATAACAATTTCAAAGAAGTAAAGAAAGATAAAAAACATGACAACTTCTGTATCGATAACGACGGGGTTCCCACTGACATCTCTGTCATCCGACCTCACTCCAGAAGTCTCCGGAACACAACCATTTTCATCAATATTCGCTTCTGTATTTATTTTCTTTTTCTTTTTAGCACTACTGGCTTTCAAGCACTTCTTGTTACTGACAGTTCCTTGAGTTCGAACAACTATTTCTTTCTGATAGCTGTGTAAGTGGGGAAGGGTATATTCTCCAAGTCCTATAATTTTAATAAACGTTTAATAAGACGAATTTCACAAATTATTGTAAAAATACTGACCTTTCAAGCTTTTTTGTGCACACTATTTACCAAACGTCAGTAGAAGAAACTGCTCAATAAAAGAGACTTTTTGGAAGTAGATAAAGCAAACTAACTTTTTGCTGTAAACAATAAGCTCTTTTGGCACTCAATCATAAGAGCAAACTTTTTTTTCATCACTTCTTTCACCATTTCATTCTGACTAGGTTCCGTCATTTCACACTCAGCAAACGTATTTAACAACTAAAACAAACTTCGCAACACTTAATATCTTTAATCACAGAGTTACTTGCGGTTTAATAATAGGTAATAAGCACCTAAAAGTAATATATATGCAAATATTTAGTTATCAAAAGTCAAGGCGCGACTACGTGAAAATGAAATTCCATGTTCTTTTGAAATTTTACAATGAAGAAGTCAGTACTTCACAAGAAAAACTAATTATTCTACTTTTTAAATTATCTGCCCTCCCTAACACGGCGAAATCGACACCCCAAAAAAATTTCAATGTATGGTTGACTCGCTCCAGAAAGCGCAAGTAAAATCACAAAAGAATTAAGTTTTTCAGCGCTTTTCTCCCTTCTCCTAACCTGCTACTTCCCCATGATTCTCCCCTCCCTTTATATTTTAAAAGATTCATTAGCTTGTCAGCTTAAACTGAGTCGCTCAAAAAAAGCCGTTTGTGCCTACTAATAAATGACAAAAGCTGTTTATGGACGGCTCAACAAAATATTTTAGGAATCGTTGAAAGCAAAAGACATTTTTCCTACCATTTTTTAAACCAAAAAAGAATAAACTTTTCTCGAAAAACATCAACATTCGTACTTTTTTAATTGCAAAATCCAAGATATACAAATATTAACCTACCAGACGAATCCACTGGATTGCAAAACAAAAAACGTCATTATTGAATCGACGTCGTTCACTGGCAGACTCTTCAGCATCGACACCTTTCATAGAAATGTTTGCTTCTGCAAGGATTCCTACCCCAATTAAAGCAAGGACTTGAAAAGAATCCAAACGAATTAATAGAAAAACATACTGATCAAAAATCTTACGCAGCACTCGAAAAAAAATATTCTGACGTTAAAGGTCAGCACAGAATAGACAAAAAACATTTGAACTACAAGAAACAGCTCGACTCTTGAAATCCTACCGAATGCAAATAAAAACTGTTTCCAATGATGCTCATGAGCTGCTTGCGTATCATCTCCTTCCCAGCGCTGTTTCTGCCGAGCAAAAGCTCGTAAAAGTTCGAACAAAGGCAAAAGCTCAAAAACTTTTTCTCGCCTTACATCGCCATTAGTTTCATAGAGGTCACGAACAAGTTCACTTAAACGAAGCCACTCCTTGCATTCGGGACGTATATAACGAGTTCCTTCGTAATGGCTAAAGAGACTTTATTATAACTGAAAAGCACTAGATATACCAACAGTATCAGCAAAAACAGTAGCTAATTTGCCTCAGCGTTAATGCAAAAGTTACGAAACATTATATTGGCATAACCAAGATCTACACTGCCGAATACAGAGACTAACTTTTCATCGCATAACGAATTCCTTTTCTCGAAAAAAAGATCATGAAATTCTGCCTGCAGTTTTTCACTCCATGTTAACTGTAACACCAGAAAAGTGATAAAATAGTAATTATACAACGACCTAAAGCTATCCCTCTGAATACCGTCACTCAGATGTAAAACTTTAATCCCTGCCATCTTTGAAAAAAAAATATTCAAAAAAAAAAAAAAAAACATACCACTGCACTACTAACTGGTATTCTAGGATTTTCCACAATAACTTGCTTCAAATGAACATAAAACAAAGCCCGAACTCGCGAATCCCCTTTCGTCCTCGTTTCGAGAATGTCGAGTGTCTTCTCCACCATACACTCACGTAAATCAGAGCTGCTGTTTCTGAAAATCCTTTTAATTAACTGTTACCGTTGAAGACGTAAATTATTTTTCTACAGAGTACTGGAAAAAATAAATACATTGAATGATGAAGCAAAATAACACGCTAATTGTTTTTACTGCAATACATCATCTGGAAAAAAGTTTGAAAGGAAAAAGAAACATGAGGCATACTCATTAAGGCGTAAGTGGCCTTGTAACTGCATTAGCATTCCCAGAACGCCCCACGTCCTTTCTCTCCGATTCGATGAGGAGAGAAGCCTATCAATATTCAATTTAAACTCCTCCTAAAATGTCCTTTCACATTTACTTCACCGACTAACTAAAGAGTTTTTCAAAGACTTGCTCAATAATAAGAGCTAGAATTTATAAAACAGTAATTTTTAAATTAGTGCTAAACAACAAAACTAATTCAGCTTTGTTGAAAAAACAAGTTAAGGTAGGATTGGAAACGTTATCGAAGGCTGAAGTTTTTTGGAAGATAAGCTCAAAAAAGCAAAAAAAATTCACCTCCCATGAGGTGTAGAGAAAATTATAAAAGGCAAGATAAGTGAAGATAAACCTTAGCGCCAACTTGGTCACTACAGTTCATGTAAGCCGCAATTAAAACATAAAAAAGCCGTCTCACATTCTCCACCGATAGATACGGCAAGGATCTTAGTGCGGTCTGGAAATAAAAGGGACTTAAAACTAATTTTTCAAAGATCCAAGACCATCAATTTTAAAAAGAAAATTAGAACCAAATCTTTAAGAAACGTGGATGCGCAGGCAAAGAAACTGCAGAACCGCACATGAATAACTGCTGTATACGGTATCAAAGCTGCAAGATGACGGTCCGTTAAGACTTCAAGAGTCGTAAGAATAGCACTAGCTTCGCATTCGACATCAGTTAAGTGTAGAATCATAAGACTGAGAACCTAAATTAATAGACAAAAAATTGGTTTCCATACAAAAGTAAAGTATTTGAAAATAAATCATGTTTAGCTTAAACATTATAACCTCTTCGCGACGTTCAGGAACTACAATGAAAAGTTTTCCAAGAATAAATGAACCAAAATAGACGAGATTTGGTAAAAGAGACCATAACAGACATTCACAGAATGGAAGAATCGATTGTAAAAAGTCGAATGAAAACTGAAAAGCATGATTTTTCAGCACACAGTATCTTTAATGATAAATATCGTTAGAAAGAAAAAAGTCAAAAAATGTTGGTAACTCCTATACCTGATAAAAATCCAATGCACTCTGTACAACATCCTTAAATTCTTCTATGCGGCTTCGACGATGTGTAATCTGGCACTTGAAAGACGAGAAAACACCGCGGTCGCAACTTTCCACACTCATCAGGGCAAAACATAACATAACGTCAAAAACGCAAAATACCTAAATTGCTTAGAATTTTAAACTGTAAAATAAAGTTAAAAATCTTCATCTCTTTAAAACAAGTTAATAAAACGCAAGAGATATTTTAACACCTAAAACTGTTAAAAACTTGTTTTTAAAACCGTTAAAAATTTCTGAAAAGTCCTTATCTCAATGAAAAACAACAAAATGTTATGAAAATTTCAATATTAATTTTGCGTTCAATAAAGAATAGTATGACGATCATCAAATTTGCAGCAACTTCGACATTATTAAAAAAAAGTTCCTTTGATAGCACATGAATTCGCTTCAAAAAACTGCCATATTTCAACTTTAAGACTGACAATTTCAATTTGTAAATAGATTTAAAACTCTCCAGTGTTAGAGAAAAGAAAAATCAATGAATAATGTGTTAAAAGAACACACCATTTTTTGAAATCTATTTGTAAGCGATCTATTTCTTAAATACCGAATAACCTCTTTGACTATCATTTTCTCGTCTAAAAAATTTGTTAAATCAATATTTTTAAATTTTCTTCGACTGAACCTTATTGTCTGATGTAGAAATTTCATCTCCAATTTCTAGTGATTCAGAATCACCATCACCCATCTCGCCGTCGTGCTGCAATACGTAAACAACTTCTTTCCAAAACCGAGTAGATCCAAACCTTGCCTTCCTAGCAATGTTACCGAACAGTTCCGAAACTACCTTGTCCGCGCTTTTTTTGCTGAATCGACACAAATTAAGAGTATAAAATACATATGTTATCACATAAGTGAATTGCTAAAGTCGTTCTACAAAAATTGTAAAGAAATTAAGAGCCCTCAAAGTTCTTTCAGTGGCAAAATTGAAGAGGTATATTATACCTAAGGCTACCGTACTGTCGTACCATTTCCTAACCAACTCAAACGTAGTACGGTAAAGACGAGAAAGATAATAAATAAGAATTTTTTTTGAATTTGCAAACATTGAAAAAAGATTTACAGGAACTACTATCGACAAGGTCGTAAATCAGGGAGGAAAAAACAGTCATTCCAAGAAATATAGGCAGTTTAGGAAAGCCATATTAAACAGCTTTGCACGTTTCCAAAGTGCAGTTTTTATGACAACCTTAATTACCCAAAAAAGCTAAAAATAAATGAGGACGGTTATGTAAATAGATTACATGTATAAATGGTGAAAGCAAAATGGACCTATAAAAATGATAAATTAAAGCGTCGTCTCTATTAATTTACTGTTTCTGTCCGCACGTTAGCAACACCATAAATTAAGAGTTACTTCAGTCATGAAAGTCAAAAACTTCTATTTACTATCAAAAATAGAGAAGGATCTCAAAAGCTTAAAACCCGAATTAAAACGAGGAAAAAATTACAACCCTGTATCGCTTCTCGAAACTCTTAACTTCTCCAGCTTCAAATGTTCCCTAAGACCAAAAAACACATCAGAATATCCACATTTCTCATCCTTCTGAACAGCATTTAGGCAGTAATTTATAACTTCGGGAACAACAGCAGCCTCAGTTTTCATTATATTTCGGATAAACGTCCTTCGAATCTTAACAGGAGAAATTATATAGAAAGAATAAACTACCAATGGAGAAATTTCTTGCCAGTTATCTGCATCTGTGGCTGAAAGTTTCATTCAGCCATTTGAATATTGAAAAAATTAAAAAAGAAAGAAAATTGAGTAAAGGGGAAAAGTCTAAAAATATGAAACTAAACTTTTCTGCTAATCCCAGCCTCACACCGTAAGATCATAAGAGTGCGCAATATGGAAATCCGAAATGTAAGCCCTTTGTCTGGCACCTCTTTGAGGAACATTTCGCTTAAATTCTCCGCTGCATCTAAAAAAATTGCATAAATACAATCAACATAACGGGGAATTTTTATCAAAAACCGATTGTCAGAAACGCCTTTCAGTATAAAATACAAACACCAATGTTGACCCTCTCAAAACAACGCAGGGTGGATAAGCAGCTAAAAACTATTTAATGAAGCAAATTTAATCCAACAACTGCCTTGTTGTACACCAGCATTTAACAGAATTTCGGGCAGGGCTTGAATTAATGTATCTCGAACTTTCGGAGACCAGTGTTCTATATCTTGTTCAAAAACTGCTGCAAACAACTGCTTCGGATCATAGACTACATCTAAATAACGAATCTGGGCAATACATGCTAACGCTAACTGCTCGTTTTTAACCTTTTCACCGTCCAAGCTGAAAACGCTACACCATGATTTTTCTCTAACTAAACATTGTAATGAGTAAATTATAAGCATCCATCACGAACCTTTTTGCGTAATATTCAACTTTCTTCATCAGAATTCCGAATATCTGCGATTGCAGTGCATTAGTCAAAAGAAGAGCGCGAAGAACCGTACCCTGAAAAGAAGTTCACTAGAAGAGCAAACACGTTTTACGAGTAAGCTTTTTCCAGAATAAGAATAGACTAAAAAACCGGAAATTGCTTAAAACTGTAATTAAGCATCTAATTCCAACAATAACATTTCCCCTAAAAGCGTTGCATTTACACGAACACTAAGTAATGTAACAAAACCGCAGTAACCTTACCTACACAACATTACTAAACATTCTGGAACTTTGGTGTATTCTCACTGGTCTCATTTACGGCAATTCCAAAAAGCAAACAAAATTTTAACTGATACACCGTCTTCCACATGATGACTGTGTTTAACAACTATTTAAAACCCCATTAAATTATAATAATTTACATTCCCAAACTCTCAGAAGGAATTCAGAACCATACAGTCAAACCCCTTTCACTTTTACAAGGAGAGAGGTACAGCTCCAGCTTATCAGCGTCGCCGATTTCCTCTTCAAAAACGCGCAGAACTTCATCCTTCCTCTATAATTTTTTAATAATAACAAAGTGCTAAAAGTCAAACCACATTCAAAAAAAACGACTACACTGGTCCTGAATATTTCTCAAATCAGAGCAGATATAGAGGCCGTGAACAATTTAAAAGTTACCCGACCAGCAGACTGGAAAGTGCCATTCAATACTTTAACAAAGTTGCTGTGGCTGCTCTGATTAACTGAAAATCAAAAGCATCAAATTACGCACACTACAAAATTTCAAAAAAATTGACAATTTCCCTAGTATTCAGAAAATTGAAACTGAACCTGTTAGCAGAATGGCAGAATAGGTGAACTTGAAAGCAGAAGAAATGAGTAGGAAGAACCAATGTACGATGACAAACCAAGAAAAGCGAAGATCTTGCTATCGTTATCAATCCTCAGTTCCAAACCTGCAGATTCAAGCACTTTTTCGAAAACATTTCGGGGCTTGACACGTGAACCGATATCAATTTCCACCGTGGAAACATTCTGCGACTGCGTAAAAAAACGATCCAATGCCTTCCGAAATTGCTTATCGTAAATCAAAAATTCCTCCGTGTTGTAAGACTCAGCTGAAATAATATTACCGAGACTGAATCATCTCCACAAGCGCTCTATTTCCGTACCTGCACCGAATGCAGACAGGAGGGGTTATGACCAAAGTGCAGAGGCAATGAAATTGACTAATGTTTTACTTATCATTTGTCACAACGAAGAATATACTAGCCTGAGTGAAAAGCATAAAAGCGAAATTTTAAAAAAACAAACTATTCACCAGTAGTTTTTAGACCCTATAATTGCGCTTACAAAAGTGTAAGTGATCTGAGATTTGGTAAGTTTTTGACGTTTTGCGTAGTAACCAAACGATATTTCTCATTAGCTAAATATTAATTTTTTAATGAAAAAGTGCAGAGGTTTCTGCAAACGAATCAGTAAATTCAATTTCTATCTTCAAAGTCCACCATAGCATAATATCGGTTTCTGATCAAGTCTAGAACTGAAAGCGACTTTTTACTAATGATTAAACTATTTTCGTGGAACCAAAGGCGTTGCAAGCTCGGACAAAAGAGCCTCTAGCCGCTATTAAAATGTTTTATAAAGAACCCGCTTAGGAAACAATTTTAATTTAACAAAACAGAAGGAACTACAGATCCTTCGTTGAATAATACGCTATGCAAAATTAATTAACAGGAAAAATTTTTCTAGGAAAATTAAAAAAGCATCTGCCTAAACATGATTGTTTGGCTCTAATAACTACTGCAACATCCCTTCAAAGTTACTCAGCACCTACTGTTCTGTTGCAAAAGACTTTTCTAGAAACGCATATTTTTAAACGGTCGTCAGTCTAATCAGTTAGAAACTGGGCTGAAACACTAACCGATACTGGAACTTAAAAAGTAGGAAAGTTCTATATCTAAAACACACCGACAAAAATGATATATTCTTCGATTACTAAAAAATCCTAACGCCTTGTAAGCTTCCTGGTTATATTATGCATATTGAAATCTCAGACAACAAATGAAACTTTTTTATGAAGTATAAAACTAAACCCTACTCAGAATTCAAGCTTTCCGTACTAAATTCAGAAAATCTTAAGCTAAAGAGATATTATTAAAGTAGAACACAATATCAGAATGCCAGCCATAAACATGAAAGACACACCCCTAACCCAATTCATATGCATCTTGCACAAAAACAGCACCTAAAACTTCAAATGAGATAAAAGTCACACCGGCTTCGAGAATGACAGTTAAAGCGAGTACTAGTCTTTATTGGACTGCAGCGACAGTATTCAAGGTATGACAGTCTAAAAAATTTTTCCGGTTCTTTAATATAAAAATTAAGGCCGACAGGGTGCGCAAAAAAACACCGTCCCAATCGAAA